GAGGGAGGGGCGTGTCGCCCGGCCAGGCCCGCGGGGTTTTGGTTCCCGGACCTGGCAGGCTGCGCGCGGATTTCCATCCCCCACCGGCTGAGTTTGCCTCCCAGGGGTTCAGGGTTTGGGGAGTCCAAGCCACCTCCGAATGTAAAAGCACAGGCCTTTCGTGAATGCAAACATCCATCAAAGGCGGTGGCACTGGAGGGGTCAAGCTGGGCCTGGCGTTCCCAAGGGCGTTACTGATCCTGTGCCATGGGGCGGCTGCTCCCTGTTGCTCACTTCCCTCCGCCCTCCTCCCTTACACTTGCAGCTTTGCGTGGACATGTTTCAGTCCCTATCTAAGACTGGTTCAGAAAACCACTCTGGAAGAGGGCTCCCTTCATCTGCCTCTGCATCGGCAATACCAGCACTCTCTCTTTTTGAAGGAAAAGTCTGGCAGTAGGACGCAGAATTTGGAAAGAATATCACATGCTGTTCCCCCTGAAGCTGTCCCAGTGTTTGCTGACTTGCTCAGAGGGTTGACTGCTTCAGATTCTGTTGAGAAGAAAGCAAGATTACTCTCTTGCCATGTGTTTTCCACCCTGCGCCAAACCAGATGGATGAGTTTATGCATATGCATTTTTTTTAAAAGAGTAGAGGGTATAATTCAAAGGCATATTTCCAAATTAGCATCTCTGGGCATAGAACAACTAAAAGGAGACTATTTCATTTATTCTAATGGACACTGCATATTCTAACATTAAACTCATGGCATCGATGGTCTTTGCAAATGCTTGACAGTAATCGGGAGGGTTTTATCACTCCATTAGAAGTGCTGAAAACTGTGTGACAAAGGTAAAACAGTTCTGCCTGGGAGCTGGAATATTGGGAATAATAATGGAGGGGAAGTCAAAAAGATTCCAAATGCCAGGTAAGCTATTGCTTTGTGCCTGCCCTGGGGCAACCCATGGCCATGTCCGCATCAAGCGCACATGTTTTAAAACCTCCAACTTTCTCATTCCCTCCCTCCCTAAAATGCCTCTTCATTCAATCCCCAAACCCTCCAAGGATCACTGACAATATATTGCCTGCATGTAATTTTTCTAGCTATGAAATCCCACTGTAAGAGTCACATTTCAGGAAGCAGCTTAAGGAAGTAAAGGTCTATAACAAAGCCTTCTAATTCCAGCACATCCCCCGCCGGCCTGATGGGCTAACGTCATGTCACTCCTGGTGTGGAAATAGCTGGGGGGCTAATGCCACTCACCATACAGGATGGTTAACATGGACACGGGCATCACCAGGAAGCCCAGCAGCATGTCGGCGATGGCAAGGGACATCAGGAAGTAGTTGGTGGCGTTCTGCAGCTTTTTCTCCAGGGACACTGCCATGATGACGAGTATGTTGCCAGCGATGGTGAGAATAATCACCACAGCTGTCAGCAAGGCAGACCAGTTTTTTTCCTGGCCATGAACTAAGGAGTAGCATGGTGGCGAGAGGCAGCCGGCACAGGAAAGGTTGGTTCGGTTTTCAGAGTCCACCGTCCAGTTAAACACGTCGGAAGCGTTCGCGTCTCCCGAGTGAAAATTGCTGCTGTAGAGTCTGGTGTCAGCCTGGAATCGGTGGAAGGAGTTCAGAGGTGAGCTCATGGAGACGTTTTCTTCACAGAGCCTCTCCATGTCTCCACCGGCGCTGGTCACGGATGGAGTCTGGAGAAGGGGATGGATGATGAGCCCCGATCACTACTCATCTCTGTGTCCCCACGCTCCGGTTCCTGGGGCCGACTCGCGCTCTCATTCTCCACGTGGACCGGCTCTTCCCCTGGGGCCGCAGCGACCCCAGCGCGGCTGGCTCGGTGCGTCCTCGCCAGCCAGGTGAGCAAAGCAGCACGAACTTTTGACATAGAAGCTGCCCAGTTGTGAGCGTTCAAGGAGAAGAGGCTGGGCCTGGCCCCCAAAAGGAGGCAAGTTTGGTAACGACCAAGTGTCCCTTTTCGCTCTTTCTCGTCCTTGGGTGATCCGGCTCCCAGAAATGTAACCCCGGCCGCATGGAAAGAGCGTGCGCTCCAAGCGGCCGGGCTGTCGCCTTTGCATGGGAAGACACCCAATTTCGCATGCACCCAGCGTCCATCCCACAGCGACGGGTGTACTTTGGGTGACAGCGCTCAGTCTGTGTGAGCCGAGTTGTCACCGCCGCGCTCAGCAATTTCAGCTTGTGTTACGTTGCTTGGAAAAAGACCGGTTCAAAAACAAAACAACCCACAAAAACGCCTCCGGCAATGATTAGGAGACAACTTTGCGCATGAAAAAGACTTCTGGAAACGATTGCATCTTGGCCAAGCCCGACTTGGCGGCGGAAAGGAGTCGCATCGAGCCCCACGAGAGAACTGACATCGGTGCGGAGGGTCCGCGCGTCACGCGCGCGCTGCTGCATCGCTCGCGCAAATTCCGCTGCGGCAGAGCATCCTCCCGGAGCGCAAAGCATCGCCCTTGGATGTCTGTCCGGCTGCCGAGCGGGGAGCCAGTCGCAGCCTAGCAGGTCCGTGCTGGGAGTCCCGGGCAGCGTTGGGCAGCCGCTGTCCCCTGCGGGGCCGCTTGCCTGGAGCGATCCGTCACCAGCCGCCCGCCCTCCGAGTCACCCACGGGCGATGGCACCGCGGGAATCCTGGTTTCCCCCGGAGCGCAGCGGCTCTCCGCCTGCAGTTTCACGTCCCGGACCTCCCCTGTCTGTGTGTCAGAAATTGGAAGGTGGCAGCAGCCCAGGAGGCTGGACCAAACAGGATCTGTCCTCTGTTTGCCACATGGTCGCATGAGGAAGTTTCTCTTCCTTCTCCAAAGAGAGAAGCCGGGAAACAACCTTTGGGTGCAGTTTCTTGATAAGGCAGGCAATCCCTACCCCCCACCCCTCACCCCACTCACCCCTGCAGGGACGTCTTAGAGACTGAAGGGTGAGGAGATAACATACACGGGGCTCGGGGCTCGGAGTTTCCATCTGAGCGCGGTGTTTATGCACCAAGCACAATCACTGACATCTTGAGGGGAGGTTCTGAGCGGCCAAGCGGATCACGCCTATCAATTGTTACTGCTTTTTGGGGAAGCTTATCATTGAACACACATACCCTACTCAATTAGCCTGTTTTATTTCCTAGGAGCATGCCACCCGGAAGGAATGAAAAGGCTTTGTTCTTTTTCCAGAGACCCTTTTGAAACAACGACAACCTGCCTGATTTGAGAAGGAAGCCTCTTTCAGGCAGGTTTCCAAGAAGGCGCCTTTGACGGTTTTGATTTTTACAGATGCGAGCATAGACTGTTTTTTAAATACTTGGGGTGCTCCGGGCTGTTCCATCAGCTTCATCTTGTCGGACTCTTTCCATTCCCCCAGCCTCGCAGGCAAATTTGACCATTCCCATATCTTCAGCATGCTAAGGCAGGCCAAATCCGAACCGTCACAGTGCATTGTTTTATCAGTTCCAGAATTAAAGAGCCGTGGGACCCTTCCCTCTGCCACTTAGGAAATCTCCCACTGCCTGCTCACCAGTTAGTGTTCACCCCCAAATCCGTCCCTGGTGTGTCTGGGGAACCGGATGCCAAGACCCGTCAGCTGCAGATTGGCAGGCCTTTCTTCCGAGGTACTTCTGGTTTGCACTGGAGCCGCAGACCTTTCCGTTAGCAGTCAACCGTCTTCACAGTTTGCCCCCGGGGACTCCTCTCAGTACTTATCTCTATCTTCTCTTTTGGTTAATGGACTCCTCCGCTTTTCAAACAGCTGGGCCTTGCCAGGACTTCCTTTTTTGTCTCATGCCCAGATGTGACTAGTCTCCAGACCTACCTCTGTGTCTCAAATCCCTGTGGTCGCACAGGCCACTGGTAGTACATGCTATGCCTGGTGTGTGTCTTGCCTCCCTCTTAGGTGTCCATCTGGATTCCTGCTCAGTATCTGAGGCCCAGGGCCAGCGCTATCTATTCTGTGAACCCCAGGCCCTCCACTTGCCACCGAGGTTGCCATCATGTTGCTTGAATGCTCTCATATGTAAAAGGGAAATGCTCCTATTATTAATGCTTATCTTGTAAGATTGATTAGACAAATTAAATAAATCCAGTTGTTAGCCTAGACCCTTTTAAGCACCCAGGGAAGATGATTTTTATTTTTGATATTGTTATCCAGCTTACTCTCACTATCACTGTGTGCCCCTGACCTCTTTCCTCCAGAGAGGCTAAGACTATGGAGTTGCTCCAGGCATCTGTTTGAATACATATCACATTGCACACAAGCCTACAAAGCAAGGACTGTGTTTGTCTTGCTATGGCTTAAGCACTCGGCTGCTAACTGCAAGGTTGGTGGTTCAAATCTACCAGGAGAAAAATTAGGCTGTCTGTTCCCATACAGATTTACAATCTCCAATATGTAAACCATAGATGCAGGGATGAGTTTTGGGCTTGCACTTAATTCTAGCCCCAATCTAAGTGCAATTAGTTCTTATGACATGGCCCTGCTTGATGATCAAGCTCACGAAGGAATCATTGAAGCAAAGTGTGGTGAAGAAACTAGATGATGGCTGGCTATCAGAAAACATAGAATCTGGGGTCTTAAAGGCTTGTTTTCAAACAAGCAGCCATCTAAGTGAGGCATCAACTAAATCCATATGGAAGAAGCACACAGGCTTATGTGATCCAAAGATCGTAAGTAATATAATCCAAATATAAAGGAGGGAGTAGCATCAGAGCTTAAAGTGTGAACACCTACTTCACAGAGAGTATGGATGACAGAGGAAGCCACAAATCCATTTGCAAGGTCCACAGGTGGATTAAGCCGCTGATGAATACTCTCTGATCATAGTTCAGGGGTTTGAATAATCTTTTTACCAAACGGAGAGCACTGTAAAGTTGATTGTGGCAGACTGAGGTCAAAATGTAGTATATTATTGTTTGAGCTCCCTTTTGCTCTGGTTTTTAATGTTTTCTGCTTTCTTTCCTATTGAGGTTTAATCTTGTTGTTCTTGTTAGTTTGTTTTACAATGGTTTTCTGTATGTGAAATCTAGGATAGACAAATCTATAGAGACAGTAACTAGATCAGTGGTTCTCAACCTTCCTAATGCTGTGACCCTTTACTACAGTTCCTCATGTTGCGGTGATAACTGTCATTCTGCTACTGTTATGAATCGGGCGACACCTGTGAAAGGGTCGTTCGTCCCACAAAGAGGTCACAACCCACAGGTTGAGAACCGCTGCACGAGATCAATGGTTCCTGGGAGGTATGAGAGGGGAGGTTGGGGGGAAATGGAAGAGCTATTAATGATGAGCATAAGAATGAAGAAAATGTTCTACAACTGATTGTGATGACGATTGTACAATTCTTCTTGATGTGCTTGAACTCTTGACTTGTATAATATGTGAATTATGTGCTAATAACATTTTGAGGGAAAAAAGATGTACAGTCTTGGAGACCCCACCAAGAGTTGCTTTGAGCTGGCATGGACTAACTCACTCCTTTGTTCACAGGTTAGAACATAGCTGGTGCTTACGTGTTTGCTGAATGAGTGATTTAAATGACCTGCTTATATGTCTGCTTTCTTTATTAGAAGATTAGCTTCCTCGTATCTCTCCACCTCAAGTCCCAAGCATGGTGTCTGAGTTAGTTAATTGTGCCAGCCTGGCCGATAATCACATGTGGGGCTGGTTGAAAGGCGGAGGGATAAATGGGTGGTGAAG